GACCCCTTTAACCATCTATGACCATCATCTCCATATTTTTCTCTGACCAAAATGAACAAAAACGCCCATCAAAGTCAAGATAAGGGGCAAAAATGATTAAGCTAGGTCTATTACGACTGTGAAAGGTAAAATAAATAAAAAATGTCGATTGCGGCATTATATTTACATTAGGTTTGCTCACGTTGCATTAGATTTCTTTTTACGCGCCTTGCATCATAACCAATCAGGCACGTTTTTGTTGAGCTTATGAATGCAGTGTCCAATCAGAGGCGTTTTGATTCGTCACCGCAGAGAATGAGAGCTGTTCCAGTGCGCGCGCTCACTGACTGAATTCTGAATCTGCATTTGCATTCACTCTCATCATAAGCAACGACCTGCAGAAAAGATGCAAGTAAGAGATTTATTTTGCAGCTCCCAGCGATTATAACGGGAGTTTTTGCGAAAGTGCAAGTGCATAACTCACATTAGACTGAAGTCATGGACGGCTTCAGTGTTGTTGGCTCGCTTTCATTAGCCTATAATATAATTTATTCTCAGTTTGAATAACCGTTTTGTTTTTCATGCTACTGAAACAACCAATGAGAATTCTTGGTTTTGTAATATGTAAAAAGCAATAAACAAATAATCTTAGCTGGTTTCCAAAATATGACTTTTAACATGGCTTTTGTTGATGCTGAAAAAATGATTGGTAACAGCCTACAGTATTGTTATTGATTAAAATAACTAAGAATGTGGCAGTAAAAAAACAAAACAAAAATACAGATATATTTAATAAGGTAATTAGAAAATTGCCCTTAAATGTAAAAATATTGCCCCTTACTGAAAAAGTTCATTATTGACACTGCTGTGGTGGATTTTTTATTTTATTTTTATTTTTTACCACAGAATTTATTAGTATCCTGCAAGTAATCTGAGATTATGAATATCATGTTATGAGTGGTCAGCAGACTGTTGAGGATCCCATTTAAGTATTTCCAGTATATAGTGTAATCACTATTACATCAGATTATACATCCTCATATACATCATGAGAGTTACTGTCATTGGCTTACAGTCTGAATCATCATCCTGTCTTTGCCAATTGTCCATCTATTATATATATATATATATATATGTATGTTCTGTCAAATAAAAGCAAACAAACAAACAAAAAACACTTTAAATGTTGTTAGCAACCTGTTAGTTCTCACAGATTCCCTTTTCATCTGTATGTTTGCTGCATCAGATGAATCGTTTGGATTCAATCCATTATGAAATTCAGTCCATTATGTTTTAGCTTTTATGTATTTTACATTGCCAAAGGCGTTGGTGTCTTTTTTCACTTCGAGTGGTGACGAAGACGGTTGTTTTCTCTCCGTGTACCTGACATTTGGAAGGGTTTAACGTGGTGTTCCCACACATAATGGTGGTGGTTCTTAGAACAGAGGATGTAAACAGGTTGTAGGGCAAGAGGGATTGGGGATATTATTGTGCCTACTCCTCACTCTCATGTTCATCAGGAGGGGAAGACATCAGTCAGACTACGCATTGTGTGATTTGTTTTCAGACGTGGTCTGGCTGTGTACACACAGAGATGGAAACAACACTCTTCTATGCCAGAAGTAACACAACTAAATAGGCAACAGCAGATTCAAATGTAATATGAATTTACATAGCCCCAGGGATTATTGATTGATTTTCTGTATTGTTCTACAGAGAAATGGGTGTGTTAAAGAAATATTTCAAAACAAGTTACGCTAAGTCAAAGGCATTTGTGGCATAATGTTGATTACCACAAAAACTAATTTTGACTTGTTTATTAAAAAAGCAAAAATTGAGGAGCACTTAGAATGGAGGCAAATGGAGTCAATTTTTGGAGGACCTAAAAGCAGAAATGGGAAGTTTATAATTTTAAATAAAAGAAATTACATTAATTCTAATGTTTAAATGTGTGTATTATTTGAGTTGTAAAGTTGTTCTCATAATTTTAACACTGATATTGGAGATTATGGTGTTTTGTTGTCATGGCACCAAAGTTGTAAAAATGCATGTGACTTTACACAGAAAGGCCTAGCCATTTTTTACAAACTAAAATCATGTTAACATATATTGTTTACGTCTTGTGGCTTTACTTTTGAAACAGAATATTTTAACATTTACAGATCAGTCCAACTGTAAGTACCTTACTGTAACCCACATTTTTTACTTTTTTAAAGAGACAAGTCCAAATAATTTTTGTTGTAATCCACATTGTGGCACAAGTGCTGGTGAATTAGCTTTCTACTGATCCTAGAATATTCCTAAACATATGTTATTGGACAACTTATCTGAGCTGTGAGGAATGTGCGGCAGCATAAACAAATTTATCACCTTGTACACAGTCCTGTTCCTTACCAACACAGTTCTCACTGATGATCAGGGGCCCGTTCTTCGTACGTCGCTAACTCAGTTAGCTGGATTTGATTGTTGACGATTTGGCATGATCTTGGATAGTTTGGTTTTTCGAAGCTCATCCCGGAGTTGCTGTCATAGCAACAGGTCTGTAAGCTTAAACCTGCTCGGGAGCAGGCTTATTTCATGCAAACAGGATTAGATGGCATCTTTTTAAGCAGAATTGATACTTAAAATCTGTCCACTACCACCACTAATTTATTACAAGAGTACTACCCTACTGATCCAGGGACAATAATTTAAAGAGCATTCATGCAAACTGTAGCATCATGCTACATAAGATTTATATTCCGCTTTTACTCAAAACTCACTTTAAACTACCATCGAGTGTTTGTAATAACTTCCGTTTGCCGTCTAATGTGTGTTTTGGCCATGTAATGTTGCTGAAATTAAATATGTTATTACCTCTGAGTCAGAGCAGCGATCATGGAAGAGAGAACACAGGCAGACAGCGCTGGAAGCTGCTAATGCTCATCAGTAAATCAGTGGAAAATTAATAGAAATCATGATTCTGTCTGAGCTATGCGTTTTAAAACGAACACTAACTAGTGTAAATGTAGCCTAACAGATGTGTAAACTGAAGACTATTTGAGCTTTATTAAAACTATTTTGCATTGATTTATTGTGTTGGTTACATTTTGTTCCTTTGTGCAGTGGCTCAGGAGATGAGTCTTTGAGTTTGTATAAACATCAACAAGCTGAAAAATAAAACCAAAGTTTTTTTTTTTAGATAATGTAATCTTGTTAAAATTGATTTCATAAAATTGGTATCGAAAAAAGTATCGTTCAGGAACCGGTATCGAAGTCAAGGTATCGGTATCGGTATCGATATCAAAAAATTTTGAACGATACCCAGCCCTACATTTTTGAAACACCCACCAAACAAGAGAAAACGCATCTCAAACCCCGTTGCACACCGTTTCCAGAAAACATGTCGTTCAAACCGGAAACCGTAGCAAAACGGTGCACACCGGTTTGAGCTTGAACTTGCCCGTGGTTTCGAGTATTGATACATAGCCCCTTTTAAACCAACCCATGAACGCGCAATTATCTCAGATAACTCAATACTAATCATCAACAACAGGTGCGTTCGAAGAACCGAATTAGCCAGATCCTGATTAGCGCGATGATATCATCTTGGATGTGACATTTCATCTCGGATTTAATTACATAGTCAACACTGTTTTTCTATGATCTCCTTCCAGCTTAGAGGCTCATAAGTTCAACAGAACTACACCCCAACCTATATTTTCCCTTTTTTCTCTCAAAGACTTTCCTAGGTCTTAGAAAATATAGTTAAACTAATACAGTTGTGCTACTACTTCCTCAATAAGTGTCAAATACAGATTTATATCCAGTACATTTTAATAACACAAACTAATAATTTTCCAAACCTCTTTAACCTTACCTAAAGGAACCTAGAAGCTACCTTGTATCAAATTGAGTGGTTGGCATAAACAACATCAGCTTATCACTCACATGTGTTTTACTAGATCTAGTTGGCAAAACCCTGCATTATAAATACATAATAATGTGAATATTCTCTTGGTATGCATGTTTTCCTCAAATATCGCTGTTGCCAACGCATTAATACAGATACTAATGCTGGACAGTGTGAGGCTGAGAGTGCAAGTCAGATTCTAGTCTACCAAATACACAAATGGACATGAAATATTGATTTGAGCTGAAATGATTTTATTATGTGAGAGTAAAGAGACCGCAGAGCATCCAGGATCACTAAATTCAATCAATCAAGTTGATTAGGTTCAGTACTCTTTGTACTTAACATTAAATTACACAGTTTATAGGTTGTAGATTTAACGTAATTTGAAGCAGCTAAAAATGTTGACGACTACAAAAAAAATTATTTCAACTTGAGCCTCGTTTTTTCTTAGAAATGCAAAATCATTTTATAAAAGCATTTACATTTTTTCTTGTTAAAACTTGCATGTCATTAGCTGTAAGGTTCTTCTCATCATTTTTACAGGAATTTTATGGCTTTATGTTATAATGACAGTGAGGTTGTAAAATTGTATATAACTTCACACAGAAAAGGTTAGTAAGCTATTTTTTTCACACTAAAACTGTTAACACATGCATAATATTGTTTGTCTTGTGACTATACTTTTGAAACTGAGTATTTTAATGTTTACAGATCTGCCCCATTCACTTCCACTGTAACTCCCTCACTGTAACACAGATTTAGTTTTTTTTTTAAGAAATGGGAATATATTTATATGCCTACATATTATATATAATAAAATATATCTTAAGATAAACTACATTTTTCCTATACCATATTCATGTAGCATGGTAAACGAAGCAGGTAAAAGCCATGTTTTATCATGGTATATTTACCAAGACGAGATTCACAACGAGGAAAAAGTAAACAAGTTTTTTTTTTCTATGCTCTGGATATCATATAATGTCGATGTATTGCCTAGAAGCCAGCGTTTTATAATATGCAAAGTGCATGCCAATGTTTAGTGCCCCACGCTGTCTCGGTCCATCGTTCCAGTCCATATTTCCCTTGTGCTCTATCTGATTCTCTGGCAGGTCTTGTTTACTGGCGCAAAGACAGGAAAGGGGATCCTTGGAGAGAGATGATATGTCAGTGCACTAGCTACAACCAACGTGGGGACAAAAAAATAAATAAAATCTTGCATTTTTATTCTCCTCGAGAGAGTTAAAGACGAGTAAGTGAGCTTTGCGGAATCAGCTTCACTTTGTTGTATTGATCTGTGAAGCAAGGCAACTGCTCTCCTGCAAAGCGACATAGAAAGACTGCATGTGGAGCATTTGGGCTAGAAGTTTCGCGGAAATCTCAGCGGTCGCAGTGTTTTCAGCAAACGCCCCCAGAACCGATCCGATTTACTGATACGAAACTGTCAGATTACAGGCTCGCCGGGAGGAGTAGTACGGAGAAACTACCGCGCGTACGACCCGTCGTAAACGCGCTACGGCGAAAGCCCGCTGTCAGCAGGAACCTGGAAAAAGTATAAACAGAAATCTGCCCGTTACGAACCCTGGAAATCTTGAACGTTTCACAGGAGCACTATCTGCAACTTATAAGTCTGTAAACAGTTTATTATAACTATAAGATCTTTCCATCTGAAAAATAAAACGAAACGGCAACAAAAAAAGTCTCGTTCAGACGCTCAATTGATTGCTTCGGCCTGCGCTGTGCGCAGCCATTCCTCCCCGTGCTTCGCCAGTTTTTCGTTTTTTTCACCAAGCTTGTAGCAATCTACGCAAGTGCTGGAGAAATATATGCAATCGATCGGAAATGATTCGGCCGATCATTGTAAATGATGCAGTCCGCATGCTTTATACGTGTGGATTGTTTTACAGTGAATGAAAGTCGCAGCACGCGCTGTCATTAGTTTAGCGCTCGAGCGTGTTTTCATATCAGCATCAGTCAGTGCGCGCGACAGCAGAGCTGCAGCAGCCCGAGCGGATTGAACACGTTGAACTTTCCTCTCCGCCCATTTTTTTCTGAGGGGGGTGACAGAGGGCTTTTTTTCTTTTCTTTTTAATTTTTATCTTCCAAAACAGCACTGGACTATTAAAACAGATTGTTAACAACACCAAGACGTATACGGAGGGGATTTTTGGACAGATTTTCGGTTTCCCCGGGGGCAAAATGCGGCTGTGGACTTTGATTGTTTTGGTTGCGTCTGTCTACACTGTTTGCAACTGTCAACAAACACATGGAGAAAGTAAGTGTAACTTAATGGCTTTGTTTTGTCTTTCACATAGATACGGATTTAATACTATAGGAGTCTTGTCTGTTTAAATGTAAATCTACAAACGTTACCGACCGCTCTTAAAGGGAAAAGGGGATCGTAGTTCTTGACTACTGTGACACATTTGGTAAAGCAGAGCCAGACAGAAGGACATTGCAGGGCAAGGGGCGAATAAATCAAATACCGGGGCGTTTTGATTTAGATTCGTTTCAAACTGGTTTTAATGGTACGACCGATTATATGGAGTGTGCGCCTTGACCCTAAAGCCAGATTATCGAGCGTTTGAGGACGGCATTGATCTATTTGCAGCTCGAACCGCTAACGTTAGTAAGGCTCAGGAATGGTTTTCAGGTTCAGCCAGGCCCCTGTTTTATGAAGCCATTTGCAGCGTTGACAGAGTTTCAAGAGGATTTTAAATCCTAATCAGATCGGTCGAGACCTTTAGGGCTGTGTTTTTATTTATTGTTCAAAGAAGTCATGACACATGACTGGAGGTCTGCGATCCGATCTTTATGAGTTTGGAAAGTGCATTACTTTGGCAGCAAACTAGTACTAGAGCTCACAGATGTCCTTTTAAAATGTAGCTTTCAGCACAATAAAACTATTGTAGATTGATATCACCAGGGCACAAATTTTATTAGCAATGTACTCAGAAATTTTCGGTAAACACTGGAGCAGTCAATTCGGAACATCTGATCAATAATTCTTTATTTATCAGTCACTTATTTTATGTCAACTCAAGGCGGTGCACTTTGAAGACTGGTTGTATGAATAGAAAATTTAGAATTTTAATGCTAAATATTGGATTACTGTAGTTTATCTGTATGCCTGATTATTACTCTTTATTCAGAGTGTATTCTTAATGTATAGTGACTTATTTAAATGCTTAATATACATGTATTACTTTCGTAGTAATACTTTATATAAAACACCCAGCATAGGAAGAATTCGTAAACGCACGCCATATACGTGCTGGTAATTGGTTTTAATGAGGCAGTAGTCATTTAAATTGTTCTGTAATTATGTACCACTTGTTGTTTTTTTAGTGCTCTTGGAAGACTTCCTGCAACAGCTAAATAAATATAAGCATGCTTTTGACACACTTGGCTGTGTTCAGCTCCAAACAAAACATTGGCTTGTCTTCAGTTCACCCAACAAATGAGTTTTAACATATTTTTTGGAAAGTTAAAAAATACAGTAGTATTTTTGGCATTAAGGTGTTTTTTGGGGGGAGCAACAAATTGCTCCAAGTTGCAACGCTATCATAAGGATAATTTCAGATAATTTCGAGTCTTATTTGTTGATTTGTGAGCTGTGTTAAACCCCAAGCACCTTTTTCTTATCTTGTTGCTTTGCAGATTTCTAAATATAGCGTTGGTTTGGATGAAATTTATGCATTCAAAGTTCTGCCAGTTTCCATTTTGGGACTCTCTTCCATGTGTCTGACGGTTAAGCTACTGTATGTCAGAACAGTATGTTTAAAAACACTGCTAGGTTTTAGGTTAAGACCTGCATATGTTTGAAAAACTAATAACAAGCACTGCATGGAAAGTTACAAATGAACAGACTGTAGGCCCTCTCTGTCTGTAATAATCTGATGTGGTTTTAATCAGCCTTTTAATTCTTATTACACTGCTTCTTTCAGAAAATATACTTTTTGTATGGAATATAATTCTTGTTTGTTATTTAAAATGATGCTTGACAAAAGTCTCTTTATCGCAATAAAATCTGTAAGATGTGCTTGGCTTGTACAAAAAGAGTATATTGGGAGTGTGTTGCGTCTTTGTGTCTTGTCACAGCATAGTTTTCAGCAGTGGATAAGTTAAGTTAACACCTGTGGGGTGTATGTATGCCACCTTTTTATTACAACTGAAAATAAAAGATTGAGTAATATCGTGAAACCAGTTTGTGCAAGATTTTAAGAGCAGATTGAACATAAACAAGTTGTGTAATTGCTAAGTGTGACCCTTCTTGATCCTCTCAGGCTTGTAGTGAACCACTGTAGGGAAGAGTGGAACTATTTTAGGGCCTCCGTTCAGCCTCGTCAGGACTGGAAATCTGCTCATAGCCTGGCTCATCTTGGAACATTTATTAATGCAAAGTTCAGCATGTGTCTTAAAGTGGGGTTGAAAAGTCTGATACCGCTATACTGTACTTTTTTTATTTAATCACATTTTTTCCATTATGAATTATAATACCAGTGTAACAATTTGAGTGAAAAATTAATGAAAAAATCAACAAGAAAGTTTGTGTTTGGTTTGTCACCCTTTTGCTGCAATGACAGCAGCAAACAAACTGTGAATTCCCTAAGTAAAACCTGATGATCATGTTTTCAAGCTTGATCTGAGAATGATCCAAAGAGCATCTTGTTCTTAAATGGAAACTAGAACATCTGACCTTTTTTTTTTTATATATAAAGGAGTTCACTTACTCAATATCGCAAATTTCCTTGTTTGATTATTGACTTAGAAATAATGCAAAATCTTTCAAAGTTTCTTTTATTCAGATTATGTAAAAATGTTTCTACATATAAAAGTTTTCAATATCAAAATACTTCATTTATTTCATTAACCTCGTTTATTTCCAAAATTATATTTTGAATCCCAGATTTGCAATATGGTCTCAGATTTTGGATCCCTTCTGACTGTATGTTATTGATAATAAACCATCCTTATTGGTTTACACATTTAGCTTTTTTATGTTTAATTGCTTTCATGTACTTGCAGTGCTAAATTAAAAACGTAGTGTATAAATTGGCTCATAATTGACAAATTCCATCTGTAAGTCTAGTTTTAATATCTGTCTTCCTTCCAGTCAGTCATTTAGTCTGTAAGTTTTTATTTGGTCAAACTAATGATACAGCTGTCACTCTTAACATTCTTCTGTCAGTCTTGTGTCTTTACAGACACGGACAGCACATGACAACATAATTTATACCTCTGCAGACAAGAATCTGAAACCGTTCGACTGAAGTACCTGCTTGGTTACATTGCTAATATCCGAAAACTGGTCATATATAATTTCACAATTATACGTTCAACATTGTCAAGTCCTGGCTGACATGGCTTGACCATTGAAGCTGTGAGAAATAATTTCAAATGTATTTGCCACACCCTGGCCTGTAGCCACGTCACTCCATGATCTTGCGGCTCATTGTACTTTCTGATTGTACACATTGTTAGTTTCTATTATGATCCCTCTTGTGATCATCTCATTCAAACCAACAATTATAAGCTTCCCCTCAAGAGCCTTTTATTTGTTCTGTTTTGAAGGTCGTCATAGCTGTTCAGGTGGTTTTATTGTCTCACAAGGAGGTTCTTCTTTGGGTTAAAAGAATTTCTTAATATGAAATTCGAAGAGTATGACAAATATATTAGACTGTGCAGAAATTGAAATCTACACGCTAATACACACTATACTCATAGTCACCAATGCTGATGTTGTTAACATTAATCATTTGAGAATAAAGTATAACAATAATAATAATTTGAACGGTTTGATGTGATATGAGCTAACCGATCTTTAGATTTAATCACCATTGGTAGCGAGATTTATGGTAATGCTTTTTTCCTCAGTTGGTCAGAACAAACGTGGCAGACTTGTTACTTACTTGTTCAGATGACAATATACGGTGAAAATTCTTATTTGGGTCATATTGCAAGATGTAGGCTAGAATCTGTGATTGCGAAGTACAGTAAATATCCACACCAGTGCGGTGACTGACTGCCACACATACTCTTCAGAACATTAGATTCATCCGCGCGGGAGCCGCGCCCACTCACAACCCACGCAAGCGAGATAATTCCGCACACAGCTGCAATTCCAGGTTTTCAAACAGAGATGACGACAAAGAGGCAAAACTTACGGACTGTATAACTTTAAAATAAGTGTCAAATAACAAGGGCTTTGTGACAGGCTTCATGTGAACACATACATGCTTTTAAACACATTTTTCATAAGTAGCATTCAGTTCTTTTCACCAAATGACTCTACTACCATCTGCATGTTGCAGCAGAAATTCACAGCCAAAGTCACTTGAATCAAATGTTTGCTCCCCATTCTTGTGTTTTGACAAACAGCTGAATCTCTTGGCCATGTTTGTGTGCTTTTATGAGTTGCTGCTACATGATTGGCTGATTAGATACTAGCTTTATTAAGCAGGTGGACAGGTGCCCTTCATAAAGTGGCCCGTGAGTGCCAACAAACATAAAGCAAAAGGAAGAGAGAGAGAGAGAGAGAGAGAGAGAGAGAGAGAGA